ATCCATACTGCACTGGGACCATACTATGAGATAGCAGCAGCATCATCAAAAAACGTTTGAATTAATTAACGTATGAATGCCTTTGGTGAATTTGATATACTTTTTTATGTTTTAAATGTGAAGTTTAGAAGGAATAAAATGCTCATTTAAAAACAAACTCATTTAGATAATTACTTTTTCCACTCACTTGCTAATAATTACGGCCCTGAGAAGCAAGTGAGAAAGAAACCTGGGCCCTTTCTCATTTCTCTAATTCCCCTCCTCGACTCCCCTCCTCGACTCCTATCCTCGTGTCTTACAGTAGTTCCGCCCACAAGAGATGCGAGCGGAGGAGTCGAGGAGGAGAACCGAGGAGAACCGATGAGAGAGGAGGGGAAGCAGCAGGCGGTTAGAGAAATGAGAAATCCTCTCCTCTGAGCAGTCATTTTAAAGCGACGTCCATTAATGATGACAGGAGGCACAGCCCTCTGTCTGATGGACAGAACTGTGTTCATGATGACTTATATATTTACTTGCATTCATTCACAGTGCGGTATAATGAGACAATAACAGGCTACAGATGCGGACATACACACACACACACATATATGTATATATATATTGTATATATAAATATATACAATTTCAAAATCAAACAAGTATGAGAGCACTCTCATAGCGTAACACTGTCAGAGAATGGATATATATCCCCCCCCCCCCCTCTCTGGTCGCTACAATGAGGAAAATAAATTACGGGCCAAAAGTTTTATTTAAGTATTAAAAGTAAGCATAGGACACCAAACCAACTGAGACCTGTCTGTCCGCCGCATCTACGCACACACACACACACACACTGTACAACACGCACCTACAGTACACACTGTACAACACACACCTACACCACACACACCTACAGCTCCTAAAGCATATGATATCAGGATACAGCCGTTGTGTATTTTATTATGTGAAGCACTAAATGGTTTTAGAAAAATATCGACTCTTTCTTTGTAGATATACTAAACTAAAGCATACAAATAAAGAGAGTAATGTAGGCCTGTTATACTGAGTGATATATATTATACACACTGCTCTGCTTTCTGCACGGACCTCACAGCTGTTCTCACTGTAAACATCGCATCGCGATATAAGCATATATAGAATAGAAGAATAATATCCAGGGGATGCATGCAGAGCTGTCATTGGCTGAGATAAGTCCGGCCGTGCGTCACGACTCTTTTAAACATCACTGTTGCCGGAAATGCATTCGCGGAGGAGCCGTGGAGGACCGTGGAGGACCCATCAGTGTATCCTCGATTATAGCTCCTCCAGAGAGCCTCCTCGACGCTCGATCCTCGGTCCTCGAAGTGCATTTAGAGAAATGAGATGTCCTTCAACATGGCGTGCTGAAATTCATTTCCGGGTCACTACCGGAGGACCGAGGTTGCGGTCGGATAATCCAAAAATCAGCTCCTAACTTCTAACCCTATCGTCTATTCCTTGACCTCTGAGTGAAACGTCACGGGGTTAAGGGATAGTCGATAGGAGAATTCAAAAGGACTTAGGAGAAGAGACTGCGGTACTTTAGAGAATCCGACTGCACTTTCACTATCCGACGTGTTTATGATGCGCCAGCGGACGTCATAAATGTGCGTCTGCTGCTGAGGGGAAACTATGGAAACTACAGTTTTCTATACAGCGGACAGTGGCGGCTGGTGGAAAATATTTTAGGTGGGGCTGTGGAAATGGTGACCAAACAATACTAGGGGGGTCCGGGGGTATGCTCCCCCGATATTTTTTTTTTAGAAAAGACCCCCTAAATTATGACTTCTGGTGATGTTAGAGGGGGGGGGGGGGGGAAGACAATTTGAGGCTTAAAAATATGAGAAGACTGATCAATACCTCCATAATCTTCAGTGTGGTTAGCTATGAATCTTCCAAAACTTCCAAACACCTTGTCCTGGACATAGTTTCTACAGCATAAACTGTGCAACAGTACAGTAGGCCCACACAAACTGCAGAACACCGGGGCTTTGGGAACACTCAAAATTGCTTAAAATGATTTAATTCCCATTTAACCTGTTAAGGGGCTTTTTTCCCCCGTTTTCTTTCTTACGAAACTGTGTCTCAGGGCTTCTTAAAATGTAATAAACTATTCATGTGTCCTATTCAGAGGAAACGCAGCTAACTGATGATATGAACCATGTTTACCGAAACAAAACACAAGTCTCACAAGAAGCGTCTAAATGAGCCCTGAGCGAAAAAATGCTAACGCACTCTAGGTATAAATCAATCGATATACTTATTGGATATGCACAAACAAGCGTATGCTAACAAGCTGAGATTCCACAGATTCTAGAAATATAAGTATCATCACTGAGCGATCAGAACTCGCGACAGGGGAAGCAAATACAGACATCACACGACGTAGCTTTAGGTAGCAAAACACGGAGATATGCTCACCTTTTGCTGTTATTCTGATCAAAAACGAGAAACGCGGCTGAAGGTTAATCCAATGTGTCTGTCACTTTGAAAAAATGATTGATGATCCATAATTCCATTTTTATGTCAAAAACTGAGTTTTCATTAGCTGCTAATGGTAGCTTCCAGAGTGTATGACAGCTTCCTGTTTTGTCTCCTTGGATACGAGTCCAAACAACTCACAGACTGCACCGGGCGCTGACGTAGGCGCCCTGTGACCATCAGATTTGACGACGCTGATTGGCTGAAATTATGTTTCGGCGGCATAGTTTAAAGATAGCAACAGTTGGCTTCTGCTGCACTTGCTGCACTCTCGTCTGGGCGCTGTGCATAGCGCCCAGACGAGAGAGGGTAATGATACACGGGCAAGGCCAGGCAGGAAACATGTGACTTATCAGTAACTTTAGACATCGTAACTCCAATTTTAAACGAGATTTTATTGTAGATTATACATTTTACTGATACCAATTATATAATATTTACCTTGTTTATTAAAAATATATATATATATATATATATATATATATATTTTTTTATGTGGGAAGAGGGGGGGCGGCGCCCCTAGCGCCCCTATGGGCCGGCCGCCACTGACAGCGGACTACAACATGGATGTATAATAAGAACGAGGGACTACTGTAAACTCATCTAGAGACTCTGCACCGTGCTCTGATGCTGTTGTTTTATGAACGTGGAGGACAGAGAAACATATTCTTCATGACCAAAGTTGGAATTGAAATAAAAAAGGAAAGTGAAACTTATGCTCGTCACCCTCTCCCTCCGGTCCACATTAATACAAATGATCCCAATACGTATGATTGTATGAAAAGATCTTAAAATCAATACAAATGTATTTATTATAAACGTTAGTCCTTAACAGTCCTTGTTGTGGTCATTTAACATCTTGCCAAGGACAACAGTTGAAAATTAGCCTGCTGGCTAATACTGGCTCATTTACAGCAATGTGGATTAATGTGCACTGTCCTTTAAATAAATAAACAAACAAACAAACAAACATCTATCACTGTGTATATCACCATTCAAACATCTTTTAAAAGTTGAACAAACCCCACACAGCTCAGTAAAGACTGTGAAATGTTGACTTTATTTGATAATTTCAGTAAAAACTAACGTTCATATTTCTCTTTTTGATTATAATACTGATGAACATTCAAAACAAAGCACTTTGGCAAGTTACCACTTTTAAAATGCTTAATAAGCACCGTAACTTTCATGATATCATTTATCGGTCATAATCGATTGTTTCCGTGAGCGGCCGACTGTTGTGTGACGGCAAATGCTGCGGCTGCAAGGCATTGTGGGGCAGCATTTTCTCCTCTCCTTTCGGTTAGGGAGGGCCAGTGGTTCCTAAGCTAAAGGAGGTTATAAAGGAAGTTTGAAACCTCCTTTCCTTTCATCTAGAGAATTTGAACGGCACTTATCATGGCTGCCACTGAGGGACTTCCGGGTCATTTCACTCCGTTAGGAAGGTTCCTAAGCTAAATGGAGCGTGTTTCTCAATCGCGAGTACGCTTGCTTGGTAGCACATGTCTTCCAAGTCACTTCCTTCAGAAGCTAGGCAAGAATCCTTCCTGGCATTCGGAAAACGAAGAGTGGAACAGGCTAGCAAGTGTGCAGGTGTGCGTCATATGAGAGGCCCCGCCTTACATTTTCCACAACAGATTTGGGGAAATTGGTCCGTGCGCAAAGCATTGTGGGGATTTTAAGGACGCGAAGTCTACCCATGTGCAGCCTCGAAATTTCCCCCAAACCAAGGACGCGGCCTCTGTGGAATTCCAAGTATGCTGGACATTGGAACGGTCCTGCTGCGCCACTTGATGATGTAGCATCCTTGAAATCCTGGTATCCTCGCAATTGAGAAACGGCCGGACTATTCGACTTCAGCCCGAGGCTTCGAGGAGTCGAGGAGGGGAAATTAGTGAAATGAGAAAGGGCCCCGGTTATCTCTTCTTCTTTTTTACGTTTGTTGTTGTAACATGCATTTCGGCCACAAGAGGCTGAGCTACCCCATTTTCATAGGACTAAAAACATTAGTGTTTTCTTTCAAGTGATTTAATTTCTCCAATCACTTTAAAAACAAAGTACATCAAGGATTTAGCTTGAGTCAGCAAGTTATATTGTCAAGTTATGTAGCCTATATAGAGCAAAACAAGTATCCCTTTAAAATTGTCCAATCAGCAATAATTTAATATCATGGAAAACAGGGGGAAATTGTCTAAAGGATTTGACCTGTCAATAGTGAAAACAGGTGAAGAAATGTAGCTTAGAAATCTGTCTTGCCATAACTTTTAATTTTAACCTGACAACATGTGTCATAGGCTACTTGTCTCACGGCTGTGCTTTAATCAAGAACACAGGAGAGGAAACCACAACAATATGTGGATGACCATTTATTGCCTCTCGAAGCTTCCCTAAATGTAGCATCTGTGCATTGAGGCGCTTGATGGTAGCTTATATCTCTAGCACCTTTTGCATGCCACAAACTTCAGTTGGAGCCGGGAACACCAGCGCGCGAGACTGCGCCCCGAGGACCCACTCTTGCGTCTCTGCTCCATACTTAAGGATAGATGGATCTGACACCGGAACGCATCGACAGCGGCACATTTTGACTTTTCTCCATCCCGAAGTCGGATCATTTATTCTCTGTTTTACTTCTATTATTTTGTAGAAGCAATGGATATCTACAGCTCAACGCTCTCACCGGCGCTGGACATCTTCACAGGATGCTATCTGCTGGTTATAGGTAATTAAAAGCCCTACTTAAACTTGAATGAATGATTTAATACGATTATACAGCTCTCAAGGGCTCTGCATCCCTGCTATGGCTCAGTTATGTGTGAGTGAAAAATACTGTTATACTGGATTAATTTCTTCCACAGGATTTGGAGACTTCAAAAACAGAATAGCAAAGCACTAAATTCACTTTTCCGTAATCCATTTTACGCACATTTGACTCTGAAGGCTGGGTCTCCTATTTTTGTTTTTTCTCACTCATCTAAAACGTATATACGACACTTAGACACAGTTATATGTCAAGTGTTTTAAAAGTGACATAAGAGCCACTGTGTTGCTTAAATCTAATTAATGTATGCTCTCTCTTCATCGTGCTGTGTCTGCACACAACAGGTTCCCCAACAATGGTACCCGTTCAATTATAAACCCTACTCTTCAATTAAGTATTTTGGTTAGACATATGGTGATGATGATTAGGGTTAGAGTATACCTCCAGATAAAACATGTAAGTCGTGCAATGTCCTTCAAAGTGACAAAAAGAGTCCGTTGTGTAATAGGGGCAGGGCAGTCCTTAACCTCAAAGGATACAGAACCTTTCAAATGGTGTCAGGCAGGATCTATATGAGTTAATTAGTGAAATTGAAAGGTACATTAAAGCCATTTACCTTGACTATAAAGAAGACAAATTGGTGAGCAATTATTTCAGTGGCAGCCAGGGGCGGACTGGGACTACAAATCAGCCCGGGACTCTCCACTTCGGTACCGCCGGCCATCGGGATTCGTCCCGAACGTCCCGATGGCCAGTCCGCCCCTGGTGGCAGCCCATTCACAGCAGGGGGTTTCAGCATGCTGTGAGATATTTTAACTGTAATCCTGCAGGATATGTTCCTATTTTGCATTCATTTCCATTTTTATATATCCGACAGCAAAGCCAGCCTTGTCTGTCTTTATGATAAGGCAGTAAATCTACTGTAAAACCAGAGGAAGATAAACAGATTTACAGAGTGTGATGAAAGATGGATGATAATCGCTTTGGACAAACACACAGTGCAGTGTGTATATTGCCCAAAAAGCAAACAGAAGGCTGACCCTGCAGCAAATGGGACACTGCAATAAAATCCTCTGCACTGTGAAGTGATTTATTCCCTTTAATGCACAGAAGGAGATGGCTTAGTCCTCCTGGTTGAGCGTTGACATTCACATCTGCAGTTCAGCTCTTCTCATTGCCCTGTATTATAACAATATGATATAAATAATTGTAATTGTAATATGACAGTGAACTTAACCCCCTTGCCATTTCAAAGTTGAACATATTTTACCATTTTAATAACATGGAATTATGTTGTAAGAAGATATATCCTGCTGGGTTTTATTGCTGTGTAAATGACATTATGCGGTGGTTACGATTCACAGAGGCATGCATCACATTGATTATTTCACACTTAGCACTTTGCAAATAACTGTCTTTCCAGTATGATTATCACATTTCTCATTAAAGGAAATCGTTTTTTTTTACAGAATTATTGGCTTAATAGGTTGCTGTAAATTATATAGTTTATTTTCAGAAAGGGACTCGTACATATATCATACATAATACATATAGAATTTGCCCTGGGATAATGGGTACTTATGTTGAGACATATGTAATCATTCTTTTCTTGTTGTGATGAGTTCTCTTCAAGCACTCTTGGTGTGGCAGGTGGGGTAAGATGGGGTTATAATAACAATAATACTTTTTTATAGAGCGCTTATCATAGCATTCAAAGACTTGAGTCTGAAGAGTTGAAATAATCATATGAAACCAGACACTAAAAAATATACAACACCCATCGTTAATTAACCACCTCCAAAGGTGAGTCAGGCATTCCAATATGGACAGATGTGTGTTGTTTCTAGTACATAAATTACATATTCTGTCGCCTTTCAACACCGTGCTACCAACACAGGATGAATTTGTAACACCTACTGTATGTCTCTCAATAGCATGGAATTGGAGCGGTATGCCAGCCTGCCACGACCTGCCTCCTCTTTGGGTCATTAGGAAGTGGGAAGCCTCTTCTCAGATGCTTCGCACAAATTGCACAGAAGTCAGGCACTATGATGAAACTAATAGTCACATCACAGGCACTGAATGTAGCAGCCAGTGTACATACCAATTATCTTCAACACTTGTTTTGAAATCTAAAAACAGGGACTGTACACAAATAACTGTCACTTGTTATATTAATGTTTTCTTGGAATCATCCACTTGACTACACTTTACTGAAGTACGCCAACCCTACAGCACGTCAAAATGATATAACAGTCTTGAAATAGTCAGCTTGTACCACCTTAGTTTCTAAATGGAACTTTAAATGCCAATATACAAATACAAGACGCTTCCCTGCTACACACACAATTTGGACTAACCCGCTTTGGCCGAAGGAAAAATAACAATACCCCCTACCCTTTTCTGAGCCATTTCTACTCTCATCATTTTCATACAGCCCCTCAGGTTAAATATTTTACAGTGTTTGGATCCCTGACTTTGTAAAGCAAACGAATGGGGCCCAGTGTGAAAAATCCCTGCCGGCCCATCCTTATTTCCTAAAATGTAGTCCCATTCAATGAAACAGCATTTTAAAAATACAAAAATTAGTGTGTAGAGGAAGTTGGAGATGACGGATTTGCCAAACAAACACAGGCCTTTAACCCAGGGGGCCACTGATTGAATCCTGTGAGGAACCAAAAGTAAACGTTTTCTTAATTTGATTTATGTTCGTAACTAGATTAATGTTACAAACATAGTCAATTTAATTAAACAAACCCTTGATCTTTTCACTGAACCTTACCAAGTTGTTTTCTTTTGTTTGACGTACTTAAAACGCAGACCATAATCTGGGAGCAAAAGGTTTCCTCCCTGGATCATGATTGAGAATTCACTTTCATTATGGGAAGAAGACAGGGTTGGCCTGCCTTTGGGTGTACATTTGATTCATGTTAAGACATGGCTGGCGGCTACTCAGAGTCAATAGATACATACATACATAATTAATGACTAAATACATACAAATAAATATGTTTGACTATAGCCCACTGGTGCTACTTCTGTGTCATGGCTATTCCGGCCATGACACTGAAGGAGATGGGGGTTATGGGGATCTTTTGGCAATGTGTTTGAATAATGCATCACGTCTATTTTGTCATTAAGTTACATACACGTTCACACTTATCTTGGGGTAACTATCTCACATGGACGCACATTGCCCTCCTAATGTGGCCATTATACACGGCTGGAGTGTTCAGTAACAAACAAAAGCTCCAAAATTAATCTGTCAACAAAGTGTTTGCAACAAGATACTTATTTTTGGTCATATAATAGTTGTTTTAAAACATATTGATTGGTATTGATTAATTTTGAATGTCAAAGAAAGATGTTGTTGCTTTTGGCTCACGGCAGGTTCCCAGGTGTTTTCCTTTTTCTTCTTTGTATTCACTCTTTACCCTCCCCCACAGCTCCCATCACTCACATATAATCCCTTTTCAGTAAATGTTGTACCATTAGTCCATTATTGAGCCCTAAGGATTAGAATGAAGACAGCATCCTACACTGACTCTTCGATCTTTTTTTAAAATATAAAAATAGTATTCCTGCAAGCAGATGCCCATTCCTAAATCTCACATTATCGTACACTCTCTGCCCTCTGTAAACATTCATGATTATGCTTAAGCTTGGATAATATATTCATTAAATTACTTCTGCTTTCTGATTCTGTGGGTGGCCTGCCTCCCGCTGTCAAAAATGCTTAATGTTTGTTCAAATGTTCTGTGAACCTAAAACTATGTGGTAGGAAGTACAAATTCATAGCCTTAACTGAGGATCGGTGGTTAATGCAACATTTTAAAGGAAGCGTCACAGATTTGGAATTTCAAAACATTCTTCATCTCTATCGCTGCATGTAACGGAGGATGTTCAAATTCTGTATCCCTCTTCTCCCCAGTGAACTGTGAAAGACACTTTCCTTGTAAACCTTAAGCAGTGAGGTGTCACCATTGATTATTTTGTGTTTTTGTAAGTGGTTTCGAGCAACTGGTCAGGCAGCACTTCCATGAAAGTGATTATCAGCGAGCTGGAAGTTGATTGGGTCACTGGGATTTGCGCTTAAGTAGTCCCACTAAAGGAAGATGTGAGGGCGAAGCCGAGGTTATCAATGTAAGGAGAAATTACAAGAAAACGTACTTAATTTGTATATGCGATTAGATTTTTCAATTAAGCTTCAGTGATGCTAATGATATTAAAGGTTTAGTTGCAATGTGTTGTAACTTCTTGTGCAAGTACTGTATGTGTCCTGCTTTTTGCTCCTTCCTGTTTTGATATAGAAATGAATATGAGTATGTCGAGTGCATTTTCTCCGTCTTCCACCGTTCTTGTTGGAAACTGTTAAATGAATATAAAGTAAACACGTTCAGTTTGGACAAGATTCGCTTGGTTCTTCATTCGAAGCTTCTATTACACAACACAATGACAGTTAGCCTACAACCTCCCCGAGTGAATCTCTACCTGCAGAAGTATGTCCCATGGTACACTTTCACCTGGGAGAGTTAACAAGGTCGTTTCAGCATGAGTGCAAGATTAGAGAACAAGACGGAGCAGTAGGGTTCAGGATGTTGAGAAATTATTCATCACTCCTCGAAACCAATAGCTGACCTTGCTCACCTCCAAGCTAGGCAGCAGAGAGTGAGCACTGGCTCTAAAAGGAGTGATGAGCTTCAAGCTATGCAGCTAAAGGGTTTAACAAGTGTGTTTCATTCACCTTTAAGACATGTTTGAATCTATTGTTTAAGCCCAGTTTAGTGAAAAGGATCTATTGACGGTTCAAACACTTAAGAGATTCCATATATTAGTCTAAATATAGTTTATTTCATTTTCTAACATCCACATTATCTGATAGTTGAAGTCACCAACGAATAAAGCCTATGAATCGGTGCTAGAAAATGTATATAATTCTTAATATCTTTAAAAATGGGCTT